TTAGCTCAATGGTCGGAGATTGGGGGGTTTCGAGGGTTCTGGGAAAAGACTGGTTGAGGTTGCTCCAGCATCCACGCCGCCGAACCCGGCCTAACAGCCGCTGGCGGGCAAGATAAGATGCCCTGGGAGACCACGAAAAGACTTACGAGAGATCGGACTTGTTGCGGCATGTCTCCTTTTAATGCGCCAACGGCAGACATTGTGTGGCTAGGTTGGGAGTGAAGGTTGGTGAAGAGGAAGAGCTTGCCCTACGGTCGCGAGTCGAGCTGGCTGCGAAATTCATCCAGTCTACTGCAGTGACTAATTAATGATGTATCCAACGCCGCCGAAAGCTCGGCCTTTGTCGGCGCGGAGAATTACCAGCTCCGGGGCCAATTTGCCGACTTGTTAGTCTACGTGGGCATGGGATCAAGACTACAGTCTCCATGGAGGGACAGATGGCATTGTAATGGGGAGAAAAAAAGTTCATGGTAATGTAATATAGAAGATTCCGTGTGGAATTCTCCCACGGTTTCTGCCAGAGCAGCGCTGCTGGGAAACAAATCAGTCACTTCTGATATTCTGCACCTGAGCAGGTCTCCAAAACTCTGGTACCCACAAATATATACCGATATCATATAGCTTCCCCAATTCCAGACTATGGGAGCCTTCCCAAGCTCGCAGCACCACGAAACAGAGTGATTCATTTTGTGGATATCAGGATTACTGATTGTGAAATCTGGGGGAGGCATCCAATTCTGATCTTTATCGGCGCAAAGGAGGTAATCACATAAGTGGCTGAGTCGTCCATAAAACAGGTTGGAATGTTCCAAGCCGATAAGAAGCTGACTGCCGTCTCTCCCTCGTAGATCATCATAGCATCAACCTTGGGCATCAGCATTCCTGTGATCGGTCGTTACCAAGGTGAAGAGCGACCTCAGAGATTCACGCCCCTCACCGATGACTTCCATGTTGCGAAAACAAACAGCGATGGAATTCCAGGCAATCAGCATGGTATCATCGTGGGTGCAAGGCATCAAGCGGCGACTAAAGAATTGTCTTCCATGTTCTGAAGCTGTTGCTTTGCCATAGACAAAAGTCTGTCATCTGTATCCAAATCATCGGGGGACTCAGAGGTTGTGGTTGTGAAGGTTTTCGCTGCTTGTTCTATTGCATCCGCAGGAAACCCTTTGGCGTTGAGCAAATTGGTGAACCTAGACTCGTAGGCTAACTCGTTCTTCAGCTGTGCATTGAACACATATTGACGCTGTGCCTGATTTGGCTTCATTATATTGATAGAAGAGAGCTGCTTCTCCGCGGGAATGAGGGGTGTGAATACCAGATTTGTGACGGAAGCATTCAGGTTGGCCAGCTCAGTTGGGTGACTAGGCTGCGTCAGGCCCCAGCGCAAGATCTTGCCCTTCGTGTGGCCAGTGAGAATGGTGGTTCCGTCATAGCTGCAAGATATGCAGTTTGCTTCGCCTGCCTCATCTTCGGCCACTCCTACAGGGTCACCTACCTGTACCACAATAGAGGCTGGCTCGGGTGCTTCCGCGCCAAGCAGAAACTTGTCGCCAAAAAACTCGACCACATGCAGAGCACCCCCTTCGGCAGCTACGTAGAGGGCCCGGGCGCAAGGATCCATTGTGATACAGAGAGGGGTAGCAGGGAACAGCAAAGTTCTCAGTACTTGACCTGTACGGTAATTCCAGACTATGCAGGTCTTGTCCTTGCTCGATGACACACAGATGTTTGTCTCTTGGTTCGTACTTGGACCAGTAACAAGATCAGTGATGGCGCCACGATGGTTCGAGAGCACCCTCTCCGGCTCCTGCTCGGACTGCACATCAAACTCTAGCAAGTGCGCCAGAGACCAAACATTGATATTGGAGTCATCAGAGGCAGAGAGCAGGTGATGTGGCGTCACAGCTAGGCAAGAGATTGCCTGGACATGGCAGGGCGGCGTTGTGACCTGTCGCCCCGTACAAGTCTAGAAGCTTGGTCAGCCTCAAGCCACATGTTTTAAGATAATGAATCGACAAACCTCCCACAAGATTAGCCTGCCCTCGATTGTCCCGATGATTACGACGTTGCCGGAAAGAGCCAGGCTCTGAATCCTCTCGGTAAAGGGGACCAGAGCCTCCTGGTTCCCTCGTACCCGCGAGTAAACATGCACATGGGCCTTCTGGTCTTGGGCAGCGAACACATGTGTGTCACTAGCTGCGAGACAATGCCGGGCACATGAGCTCTTCTTGAAAGATGCTCGAATCGAATATGACGGGCTGAGGGTTTGTGAGTAGATGCCAATGTCCTTAGACACGGCGGTGTTAGCGGCCACTGGGGGCCCGCTCACGGACGATAGAAAGTCCTCCGAGAGCATCTGGCGCAGCAATAATCAGGCCACTCTATACTTTTCGTTCAAAAGATGGAAGAGGAATGCCCGGAGTATCAATTCAGAAGCAGGGCGATGACGAAGCTATTGGCATGCGGCAGGCAATGGCCAGGGCAGGCAAGATTCAATAGTGTTGTTTCCGACTCCCGTATATCATATCATCCGAGGGTCGCTTGTGCTCAGGCCTTTTGCTGGGCGAGTCAGAGCGCACACGCCAAATGAATGACCTGTAGGGAGGGGCACGTGAAAAGGTCCAGAAAAAAACTCGATGGGCGAGGATACGAGAAGGTGTGCAACAGGTTTGTGCAACTTGGACGCAGGACAATACGGATTGGGTATGGGAATAGCAAAAAGGATGAAAAAATGACAGCGATAGTTGGAGCACGGTTCGAGCCCACTACAGGGTCACTATGCCGAAACAGGCCTGAGCCACTTCACGAATCACGATTGATTTCCTCGTCTCCCCAGGGCTGATTACTGACGGTCTCCCACTAGCCGAGCACCCAAGGCCCGCTATATTCTAGCGGCGTAAGGGCGGCCATAGGCCTAAGTAGGGCCCTATATTGGCTTCAAGGTGAAATTGATGGCCCCAACGGCCGGCAAGACGATAAGGTACATTAGCGACCACCAAGGCTGGAGCCGCTGGACTGCCTACTGCACTCCACCCCATCTCATCTCTCGAGCTGAACATGTTTTCTTTTTCCCAAGCACGCCAGTCCAACATCATCATCTCTCTCCCCGCCCTCTAGGCAACTTCGAGTTACCCGTGTCTCTCCTGCTCAGTGGTCAAGATGGCGTCGCCCATCGCCCGTGCAGATCTTTGATCACACCGTGCAGAGAGTTGCCCCTTTACACCCTTTGAATATTCATCACGGTGGCCCAACTCCCCCCTGCACAACCACGAGACAATCCGCTCACCATTTCAAAACACGAGAACCGCTTCCACTTCCTGAGAGACCCATGTGGCTTACCAACGTTCTTCAGTCCCACGCTTTGAGCTTGGATACCGCGTGTCAGCACCCCTCTTTGGGCGCTTCCATGGACGTCGAACTTGACGTATCATATCACCCCCGACCCAGGATGCGAAAACTATAGGTAGGGTGGCAGACAGCTGTCACCAATTTCAAAGTATTCATGTAGGCTACCTGAGTGTCCGTTAGCAGTAGCGTTGGCCAGCCAGCTGCTTCTGCATCATTATCACACTCAAGAACCCAAGTAGATATGGGCTTTTGGAACCTCCATGATCTTACCTTTCCCCTCCTTTGAAACTCCGAGATACGGTTTTGGCAAGTTTCAGCCACATGTATGCGAGTCGGGAAGCGAGACGCAAACTGGATCCAGAACCTAGTTTCGCGGTCCTCACGACGGTCGGACCTGCCTTGTACCACGCTCCTCTACGTCGCACAGCGTCTCTTGCGTTTCAAGAGTAAGAGATGTACTGGCACTCTCCGACCGACTAGATCCCCTCATTCAAGCCATTGGGCTACTAGGCTCTAGCTGGGACTGCTGGAACGGGTTGTTGCCCAACATGGTGAGAACAACGCGATACCTCTCAGATATCATAATCTCATTACCCAACAACAGTCAAAGCGTCCATTGCGTATGGCCACATGGGAATGAGGAGTTCTCCACGCATCCACAGCCTCCCTCGTCTTTCCAGAGACTCGTGTCCCGGGTGATGCATCACACTCGCTTTGGCCTCGTGCAAGCCAGTGTGTTGCCACTACGACCCGACTTATGGCAAGACTTGGCTGGCATGCAAAACTAGACTGGCTCGTCAAATTGTGTCTTGCAAGTTGCCGTGGTCAATGCGTGCATATGCGGCTAGTACCGCCAGGGGTGTCTATCAAATACCAAGACAAGTCACAAGTTAACACACCAACCAACCCTTGGCCACTGGTCTAGGTCCGCGCCCTGCTCATCCCTGCCTGGCACAGTTGTACTGCTCTTTGCTTTTGCCCGTCCTACTTCGAAGCTCGATGTAAGCCGACATCGAGGAACCACGTTGAGCAGCACACCACATCCAGAGGCCCTGCCCACATCAACACAGTCCCCATGGCTATGTCTCTACTGTCCGAGCCTCCGAGCTTGGCAAATTTGAGATATGTATTATGCCTGTGTGACACGGCATTCTGTCTTTTCCTACTTGCGACAGCCTGAAGTATTGAATTTCTACCGCCACCCACCTACACACTACTTTCATGGCAACCGTTGGTTACGCAACATTCGGCCCTCCGGCCTCCCTGTCCCTCTCTTGTCTCTCGCTTTGACTCAACTAATGTAGCTTGCGCACGTTTTCGCTCCGTCTCCCTCCACCGAACGTCTGTCTTATATCACCTGCCTGTCCCCTTCTTAAATGCTTTGGTCGGCCCTGCTCCAGGCTCGACTCCTCCACATGAATGCTCTTGGCCAGCCGGCGGCTAATCTATCCAGCCGTCGTATCATAGCACACTCGTACCCAGCTTATCATCGAGTATCCCCAGCCGAGCCAGCTTCCCCAGAGGGCAAAAGACCGCACTCTTCATTGTCTCTGACCAAGCGAAGATCCGTTTCCAGTATGAAGGGACTTATGCCACTTGCGCTGTCACCTGCGTGTTCTCATTCCTCTACCCCTTCATCCGGAGAAGAAATGGTCGAGAATCATGTGGACGGGTACTTCCCGGAGCTTCTAGCCAAGGACCTGGAAAGGTCCACAGTCATCATCGCATCGCAAAACCTTCCGCCTGGCGATGCCGAAACGAAGACATCTGAAGCAAAAGTTGCAGCCTCATCACACGGTTGGCCCTCACGACATCCCCAAACTCCACAATATCAACCTGCCTCCAGACCGGTGCGACAATTGGGTTCAATCCAAGAGCGCCAATCAGTTGTGTCTTTTATCGAACACGGGGCTCATACAGACTACTCTACAACAGACGATGATTCCTTTTACGCCAACGATGGATACATGAGCACAGTCGGCCCATCCACTGTCGCATGCCACAAACTAACGACCAGTACTGCAGCGACATCTCTCGCCTCCGACATATCGGTCCCGTCGCTGAACAAGACTCTATCTTACGATTCGAAATTGGAACACAGCTGGATTGACCCTGATTCGGATGAGGATGAGCTAGATCAAATGGTAGAGAATCACATGGGTTCTCTCTCTCCACGGCCCCCTTCCCCACCCGTATCGGAGCTGGGGCATGATCATGCAGCTGATATTCAAGATATACCCTTTAACAGGAAGCAAAGCCACAGAAAGTCCTATTCTGTCGGTGTGTCACCCTATCCTCCAATGAGACGGCGTTCAAGTCGGCTCTCAGAGTCAGCTTCGGACCGACCAAGAATGGCTCCCACTTGTCACACACGCTATGCACTCAGTACAAAGACGTCGGCGTCCTCTCCCACCTCGCCTTCCCTTTCATCCACAAACACTTCCTTCCGTGATCGTCCCAGGGCCATGAGCCTCCAGACTAATGGAAAAGTTGCTCGCCGGTCATCAGCTCGATCTCGCAAAAGTGCAAGGCCGTCCAATGATTCAAAACCCTCTACTCAATCACCCTGCATCCACGATGACAGCGACAGCGACAGCGACAGCGATGGAGTTTCCAATCCCCCGCGAAAGACACCTCAAAATCCCGTTTTCATTCGCCCATCTCCACCTCCGTCTCCTTTGCCCACTGTGCAGTCGTGGCTGCACGGAAACGCACTTCCATATGCCGCTCAGTGCCAGGGTGATGATCTAGCCAAAGCCATCCCTCTCCCCCCAAACATAGTGGAAACTTTGAGGGTTTCCATTGCTTGCTTCCCCGAGACGATGCTTCTGACCTCGAGCTTGACTATCGAGACGATTCGCATCTACTCGAGGAAGGTCAGGCAACCAAGCATTGAGCTCGTCAACAATCTGATCCCTGATCCGCCAGTCGAGAGTCCGCGCAAGTCACTCTGGAAGAGGGTCGTAACCTATAAAAGAAGCTCGTCAAACTTACCTCGTGACCGAATACGCTCCCCAAGCCCCACAGAACAGAGCTTAAAGTCACGCAGTTCGAGCTCTCTACCCTCACTCTCACCCAAGACATGGTTGCCTTTGAAGAGCGTGTTTGGATGCTGCTCTGACTACATTTGTGAGGCACTCTGGGCGCACATTGTGGCTTATAACTATATCTCGGCTCTCATCCCCCGCGCTCCTCCCCAAGCCAAGTCTAATCTACATCGCCCGTCCACGTCGAATGGTTCGCAGAGGGACGAGATACCGAAGAAAGCAGCGTCTATTCTTGGTCTTGCGGCCTCTCAGGGTGGTTCAGTTCCAAGCATGGAAAGACCCACACTCAAGCTCCGTACCTCCTCCTCGTGGACTCTCAACAAGGAGGGAATGGTGATCGAGCAGTCGTCGCGAGCAGCAAGCAACGAGAATACCACGAGGGAAATTCAAACCGGTCTTATGCGGTGCATCGTGAGACTAATTGCTACCGCTCAATTAATGTCCGAAGACGACAAGGCTGACGAAAAGATTGTCGAGATGGAGACACGGGGAGTGGACATGCTCTTCACTCGAAGCTTGTGCGAGATTGTGCGGATGTCTGAGGACTTCCACAACAACCATGTCGGCAGCTACTGAATTGGATTCACATGTGGCTATTTCCTTTGTTATAGTGGGTTCTAAGTCGGGCCTGGTGTTGGGTGGTGTGTGATGACGACGAATTAATATACATTAGGTTGAGGCACAATGTTCTTGGAGGGTCATCGATGTTACGTATGAGTATGAAGCGGGTGCACTATATTTATGGCAGGATTTTTTTCTTTTTTCCTCAATTTTTTTATTATTACGACTATTATGCCCGGCTTTTTGTCACAATGGCTGTATACCCTCACATACTTTCCCTTGCATTAGTTGCTGCTGTTACATAGTCAAACAGCTCTTGCTACAAGGATAAGAGATGTAATAATATGATATTATGTTTATTGCTGAATATCAATCCCTTCTTAGTCCCGCGCGTCCGGCAACTTTGATTCATTAAACTATCCATATATTACCCTAGCAGGTCGTAATTACACCGCGTCATCTATTCACTCCTCTGAAGTGCCGGGTTTCCCCAATGTATGGCGATATAGTCTTACTCTCTTGCATGACTATTATGGTGTTTGGAATGGTTGTAAGCCCAACGGTACCTAACACGATGTGTGTCTCCCAACGCATAATACGCTTCCGTTTTCATGATTCAGTGCATTAGCATGCCGATGAAAGGGAGGCTTCGGACTCCGGATGCTTGTGGTACCATAGACGGGCTTTTTTTGGTGTTGCACACGGTCGTATGCCTAACCTCGCTGTGAGTGTGAGATACTAATAGCAGATGCTCGAGGTTCTTAAGCAAGTTCTCACTAAGGCTACAATCAATCATTGATAACAAAACGAGTAATTCACACTACTATGAGCGAGTACTCGCAGTCGATTCCTGATGATAATCTGTATGTCTGCGTGTGACATACTCGGACAAGGTCCGTATTTCCCACCCCCCTGGCGCTGATCAAGTGCTTAGCTGCAGTGAGCAGTGGGTAATGCAGGCGAGCAGACATCAATCCGATGAGCCTGTACGCGTCGGCCGGTGGCGTTCCCACCACGGCGGACATGAAATGTTTTCCACTAGCAATGTCCGTCGGATGCGGTGCAATATGTCTGCAGATTGGACTCGGAGCTGGTGCCCTTTTCACTGTTGTCGCCCGCGAGTGAGCCCCCGAAAGGAACCTGAATCCCGCTTGGCCAGGGCTGATCTCGAGATTGGCGACAGGGTGCGAGGCGGAGCTCATGCAGGGAGTGCCGAATGCCGCCTCGGCTCACAACTGGTGGGGGTCTTTCTCGTTTGCATTGAATCCAAGCCCCAGCGGCGAACTTTCTTCGAGAACAATGGTCTTGCGGTTGGCAGTTGGTGCAGTTCGTGTGGTTACCTCGCGTCAGGCATTAATATGCAGAGAACCTAAAGGGTGAAGGGAACCGGGATGGGGTGGTTGCGCTTTGCCATCAAAAATACGGTCATGACAATTACCAATCACACATTAACTACTATGTGAGATGTCACTTTTTTGCCCATGCAGCTGTTTAGAAACTGGCTACGCAAGCTAGAAGCAAGGCCTGGTAGTTGTAGCTCGTTCTCAAGCCTTGAAAAACAAACCCGTCCCGTGCTAAAAGAAAAAAAGCCAAACTGGAACTGAAGACGGCCCCGAAAAGACCCTCATCGGATGTATTCTCAGGTCAGGAAATCCAAAGTGACAAACGATTATTATCAGGCAAGCTAGCAAGATATGGGAGAATTACAACAAAGGTTTTGCACAGCTATCTGCTAAGGAGAGAACCCATTGGACTCATACTTGGGTACCGGGTAGCTGTGAAGACCAGATCAGTCAAGGAAGGAGCTTCTGGATGAGGGCCTCTTGTCTCTAGGTACCTACCTTACCTGGTAATGGCTGATTAAAACTGTGATGCCTGGCAATTGTAACGGCCGCTTTTCCTCGAAAGGGCGTGTGGAGATCTTGCCCTCCGAATTGCCTAGGCTCATGCTCAGCTCCCGTCCTGTTTATGTTGGTGGTGTGGACGTATCTCAACAAATCAGTGGACGAATTGAGCTAGACGCTCCGAATCCCGAGACTCTCCTTGTCTCCATACGACGAGCCCCATTACTAATGCCTGGGTCATTGCGCGTATGCCGTCATTCAGCCCTGATCCTGCATGAAACGCGAGACGGCGCCAACGCTTGTAAAGGCCGAATAATGACATCTCGTTTAATCGGGTTGGCTGGAGGACTGGAGCCGGCTTCCCTTTGTCGGTGAGCGGATCAACAGGCCTATTGGCTTGAGTCTATATCTGGCCCTCCTAAGATTGGCCCCGTACGGAGGATTCACCCGCCCGGATTCATGGTCGGCCTGGCCGAAATCCATCGTCCCGCACAGGAAAAGAGCAGCAAGCGGCCTGGTTTCCGGTTCTTGACAAATGGACCTGATTCAATGCCAAACAGAACGGGATTGGCACCTTGGAGAATGGCCGATGGCACCGGCAGCCCCAACATTGCTGCCACGGTATCGGTGCGGCTCCTTGTAGCGAAGGAATGAAACCCGCTGCGACTGCCTCAGGGCTTTTGCGGACTAGCAGATCACTCTAGTCAGGATCTTTGTGCCAGATCTGCCGGTATCTGAGCGCCGATGAGACGCGACGGCATGGTTTATATTTCAGCCACCCTCTCCATCTCTGGGACCTAAAGATTTATCCATCCACCCATTCAGTTCATCATACTAGTACCTCCCCATTAACTAGTATCATCAAACGACCATGGCGGAGCTTGTCGATATCCCAGAGCCACCTGGTTGGCCTTTCGTTGGCAACATCACCGCTTTGAACCCCGACTTCCCTCTGGGTTCCATGACAGCGCTTGCTGATCAGTACGGTGAGTCAATCAACCCGTCTTATTGTTTGTAGTCTTTTCATTGGATTCCATCTCATTTCCTTTCTCTCCTCTCATATAGGTGAAATCTATCGCTTGCGTTTTCCTGGACGCAGTATCGTTTTAGTTTCTACGCATGCGCTAGTCAACGAGACTTGTGATGAGAAGCGCTTCAAAAAGAGCGTCAATGCAGCTTTGAAGGAGGTTCGCCATGGTATCCATGATGGGCTCTTCACTGCTACTGGCCCGGAAGAGGAGAACTGGGGCATCGCTCATCGCATCCTTATGCCTGCGTTTGGCCCCTTGTCTATCCGCAAAATGTATGATGAGATGCACGATATTGCATCGCAGCTGGCCCTTAAGTGGGCGCGCTACGGCTCTGACACCCCTATCATGGTTACGGACGACTTCACACGATTGACGTTGGATACCCTGGCTCTTTGCTCCATGGGCTACCGTTTCAACAGCTACTACTCGCCCATCATGCACCCTTTCATCGAGGCCATGGGTGACTTTCTTCTGGAGGCCGGTCAGCGAGGCCGTCGCTTGCCGCTGCCAGGCTTCATGTACCAGGCTGTAGACAAGAAGTTTGAAGACGACATCAAAGTCCTAAGAGACACAGCTAGAGGCGTTCTCGACGCCCGAAGAGCCGGGAATGACGACCGTTATGACTTGTTGTCGGCCATGTTGAAGGGCCGGGATAACAAGACCGGAAAGAAGATGACGGATGAGAGCATCATGGACAACCTCATCACCTTCTTGATTGCTGGCCATGAAACCACGTCCGGTCTGCTATCTTTTGCCTTCGAGCAGCTATTCCGTCACCCTGAAGCATACCAAAAGGCTCAGAGGGAAGTGGACGAAGTTGTTGGAAAGGGACCCATCACCGTCGATCACCTGTCCAAGCTGCCCTATATTAACGGAGTCCTCCGCGAGGTACTCCGAGTGAATGCCCCAATTCCTGCGTTCACTGTCCTGCCTTTTGAGGACGAAATTATCGGTGGCAAATATAAAATTGAGAAGGGCGAGACCGTTGTCAACCTGCTCGCCAAATCGCAACTTGACCCCCTGGTTTTTGGAGACGATGCGACCGAGTTTAAACCAGAGCGTATGATGGATGAACCCTTCGATAAGCTCATGAAGGAGTTCCCTAACTCCTGGAAGCCATTTGGCAACGGAATGAGAGGATGTATTGGTCGACCATTCGCCTGGCAAGAGGCTCTTCTGGTCATGGCCATGCTCCTGCAAAACTTCAACTTTGTCATGGAACCTGGCTTCACCGGTGCCATCAAGCAGACGCTGACCATCAAGCCCAAAGACATGTATATGCGGGCCATCCTCCGTGACGGTCTGACACCTACTACGCTCGAGAAGAGGCTGGCTGGGCGGGATGGCGCTGAGAAGGCCGAGTCCAAGCCGGCATCTAATAGTGCCGATGACGACAAGAATGCTGCTGGCGTGCCGTTGACTATCCTCTATGGCTCCAACAGCGGAACCTGCGAGGTTTTGGCTCAGCGAATCGCAACCGATGCACCAGCCCACGGTTTCCGTGCTGCCAAGGTTGATTGCTTGGACAGTGCCAAGGGCCAGCTGCCCAAGAACCAGCCTATTGTCATTGTCACCGCTTCATATGAGGGACAGCCCCCTGACAACGCCGGCCACTTCGTTGCCTGGATCCAAGACTCGGCAGAGAACTCACTTCAAGATGTTTCCTACACAGTCTTCGGCTGTGGCCACAAGGATTGGGCCGCCACGTACCACAAGATTCCCAAGTTTGTCGACAGCCAGCTTGAGAAGCTGGGTGCCAGCAGGGTTGCTGAAATCGGCCTGGCGGACGCCTCTGGCGGCAATCTCTTTACCGAGTTCGAAACCTGGGAGGACAACGTCTTGTGGCCATCTCTATCCAAGCAGTTTGACGTCTCAAGCACAGATGCAGAGGAGCTGAAGAAGACACAGACGGGAGTCCAGGTGTCCCTCTCTACCCCTCGATACTCGACGCTGCGTCAAGAAGTCAAGGAAGCCGTTGTTATTGAGACGCATACTCTCACTACCAAGAATGAAACAAAAGCAATCAAGAAACATATTGAAATAAAGCTCCCAGAAGACATGACTTATGCGGCCGGTGACTATCTGGCCGTCCTTCCAATGAATCCTAGGGAAAGCGTCCACCGTGCCCTCCGACAATTCAAGCTCCCCCGCGATGCTCACTTGGAGATCAACGTAGCTAGCGGAGCTTCGACTTTGCCAAGCAGCAATTCCATTTCGGCCACCGACATTCTAGGGTCGTACGTCGAGCTGTCGCAGCCTGCGACTAAGAGGGTAAGAAACATATCACAAATATGAGCCTAGACTTACAATGCTAACCGTGTCTGATAGAGTATCAACTCTCTAGTAGAGTACACTACTGCGGATAGCACCAAGACTGAGCTTAAGAAGCTTGCAAATGAATCTTTCGACGCAGAAGTCACGGCAAAGCGTCTTTCCGTTCTTGACCTGCTGGAGCGTTTCCCTGATATCGACCTTCCCATCGGCATCTTCCTTTCGCTGATGCCTCCCATGCGCGTTAGGCAATAGTAAGTGCTGCGGTTCACTAGATGATGCAGACAGAAACTAATGGCCCCTGCAGCTCCATCTCCTCCTCTCCAATCTGGAACCCTCACCACGTCACGGTGACATTCTCCGTCCTCAATGAGCCCGCACTGTCCGGCAAAGGCTCTCACATTGGTGTCGCCACATCGTACCTCGACTCCCTCTACGCAAACGACATCATCCATGTTGCTGTCCGACCATCACACGCTGCCTTCAGCATGCCCACCAAGCCCGAATCCACGCCTGCCATTTACATTGCTGCCGGCAGTGGCCTCGCCCCCTTCCGCGGCTTCATCCAGGAGCGCGCGACGATGCTGTCACACAACAGCACCCGCAAGCTGGCGCCAGCGGTGCTCTTCTTCGGCTGCCGCTCGCCCGACCAGGATGACTTGTACCGTGAGGAGCTGGACGAGTGGGAGAAGCTTGGGGCCGTCAAGGTCTACCGCGCGTATAGTCGGGCTGCGGAGAAGAGCAATGGTCTGAAGCATGTTGATGATGCGATGTGGGAGCACCGTGATGAGCTTCTACAGCTGTGGAAGCAGGATGCCAAGATCTACGTCTGTGGATCTCGGGGCGTCGCACAGTCCGTGCAGTCCGCGGTCATCAAGATCAGGGCAGAGTGGGAGAAGAACCATGAGGTCGATGTTGGTACGGAGGATTGGTTTGAGAATTTGAGGAACACGAGGTATGTGACTGATGTATTCGACTAAACGCTTTGAAGGGTGTCGATGATAGGGGAGCGACGAAAAACGAGATGTTTCATGTGTTTCATGCACGAGATACTGTATTCAACTCAGCCACTATAAACCGTTATTGAAAGAACGAAGCGATTTGTTACTAGAAGACGAGATGTTTTTGAGAGAGTTTTTATTGTTTGGGAGAAAGCTAGCAAACTTTATATTAAACGAGAAGGCCGAAATCTAAGAACCAATTAAGAACCAACTGCCATCCTTCTATCCCTATTACCGAACCTTCAATCCCAACCGGGTCTCTTCAGTCAGACCCAACCCGCGCCTCTCAAGGCGGAAACCATCTACTGGGGGGAGGCAGCGGCGCCAGCCTCGCCGACGAGGGAGCCAACCTTGACGGAAGCAGCGGACTGCTTGAAGGCGTCGAGGGAAGCGCTGACGGTAGCAGCATCGCTCTGGAGCTCAGGGACGCGCTGGCCAATGGCCTCGACGACCTTGCTCATGATGTCAAGGAGGTTGCCTAGGAAGTAGATCTTGGTTAGCAAAGGGTGATAAGAATCACTCGCGGAGATGGTCAAGGAAGTGCTCGTACCGAAGGTAGGGGCGTTGGCGGCTTGAGGAGCAGCAGCCTTCTGGGCGGCCATGGCAGAGCCAGCGAGAAGAGTAGCGACAATGGCGAAGACCTTCATTTTGAATGTGGTTGAAGAGAATTGAACTCGAGAAGTTGGTGAAAGAGTGTGAGTGAAGGTTGATGGAAGAAGCTGTTGCTTTGTTGTCTGAGAGTTGATGCTGATGAACAGAAAAGCCGAGATGGAGCAGAGATCTGAGCCTTCTTATATACAAAAATGAGGCCTCATAACACGTCTCCGATCGAGCGGGAGCCCTCCCCAATTCCCGTTTGCATATCCAACGTTTTCGGATCTTCCCTGGATGGACCCAGGGAGACGGCAACCGTTCGAGGGAGCCGTTCAAGGAGTGAGGAATGCTGAATGCGTTGGAAGAACTGGGAATGAATCCCAAGGGCGGGACGGGACAGCATCCCTAGAGGGTGGCAATGTTTTCTTTAACCGTCTTCCGTGATGCCCACATGCCAGGCGGATGTGAGTCAACCGCCGCCGCAATATGCGATACTCATTTGCTTTTTCATGGTCCCTTCATGGTTCTGCAAGCGTGGGCCGTTGGTCCCGGTCCCTTAACCCGTTTCCCTAGGTCGGTAACTTATTGGGCTGTCTCACCCTCCTGGTTCCGTCGATCGTGAGACGGAGGGCGACTGAGACGGAGGGCGAGAGGCAACTCAATCTTTGCGGATCATCAACGGCACGCACGCAGCGGTATGCAAACGCGTGTGCGGGCCGTGAACAGTTCTCCGAATGGTTGCATGCGCAAACTTCCATCAAGGCAATATCATCAAGTCTGAAACTGTCAGATTGGGAGGGCAACGGTCTGACCTGGTGTTTGTCCAGGAGGTTCTTGGTTTCGTCGTTGGGAAATCGGCGTCTCCCAAAACGTGTTCGTTACAAACAAACAGGTGGCCGCCTTTGATTCACCCGTCATCATCGTCGGTACGCTTGGAATGTTTGGATATGAAGTCGGTAGGCCTCGATTCCACTGCTACCGTCATTATGCCATCACGCGATAATGGTAGGAAACGCGACATGCTTATGAGAAAACTGTCAGATTGCAATGGGTTGTAACCTACACCTGTTACGAGTATTGTCCAAGTTTCTTCTATCTAGTCGTCTCCAGGACATGGACTTCAAAATCAGGTTTCTCGTTCCCCTCAACCGACCATGTTGCATAGTAAGGGTTGTCATCCGTGCCTCTGGGTCAGTCGTTCCAGATGAGGTTGGCGTGTTCAATCAAGTGGCTGAGCTTGTCAACTTTGGCCGGTGCAAGCCAATCCATAGGTAGACGGGCAGTCGTTGATGCCTCCAGGCCAGTCCCGTTGGTTGATGCTTGATGTTCAAACTGAGCCATAGCCAACTTCATGAAACTCTCCGCGATAAACAAGATCCTGTGATCCACTACCTCAGCCAATATTTGAAAGAGGATAAATAGCCCATGTCGTGATGAAGATTGACCTCTTCATCCCCATCATCAACAATTTCATCAGAATCCAACGAGCTTACCAGTCTTTGCAACCAACGAATACCCAGACTCACCACGTGCCAATATGCATGGATTCCGATACCCTCAACTACCCACCCAAGTCAGGATGAACCCCGAGGTCACGGTCAACCTCCCACGGCCGTCACCGTCCACGATCGCTGTCGGAACCCCTACGGAAGTCAAGAAACATTGGGTCAGACAATACCAGCAGCTTATGAATGCTCTTGATCCAGCGGCCAACCCCAGCGTCAAGAAACACATTCTTTACATGATAATAGCAGGGCTGGAGTGGGACTTGTATGCTCAACTTGAGAAGCACAAAGTTGATATGACCAGTCCGAGTGAGATGCTGGCCTTCATCAATATTTACTGAGATACCAGAGAATCCAAGAATTCTCCCATCCGATATCATCATGGCGTCTGCTGGAAACCTCGATTAGTTGCAGAAGCCTCGAGAAGCGGGTGCAGGTTATGAGATTCGAGCATGCATGTTGTTGATATTCTTGGTCTGGCTTGTCTGTGGTCTCTGCTCATTCTATGGCGAAGTGCGACATGTCTCTATCATTGGCTCGCTGTGCCTTCTTAAAGCTTGTCATTTAGGCTAGGTCGCAATCTGAAGGAGACACATCAACTCTTGCCGTGCTCCCTTACATACGCCGTTGTGATCTTGTAAACGTTTCTTGATAATGCTAGCACACCCCCCACGAGAACTGCAACCTGGTCGAACTCCGTCACAGATATTCTCACGTCCGGAAACAGGATCTGCATCGGAAACATCACCCATGCAGTGTACTCGAAGAACAGCAGGACACCGTAGAAGAAGACGGCCGCGCACGTGAACTTGATGATATCCAGGACCAGCCGGAAAGCGGTGTCCCGCCCCTCCCCCTTCGCCATTCTCCATGACTTCATGGCGTCCGAACGCAGCTGGTCAAAATACATCCATGGGTTTGGTTGCTTTGAAGCCACTACCAGACACTGTACAACGACAGCTAGGGGCATGAGCGACACGGGTCCGAGCAGGAGGGCCGTGGCAAGATACACAGGGAACGTGAGATGATGCAGAATTGAGTAGTGGACGGGCAGCAGGCCGTGGCTGGCATAGACAAGGAGCTTGACGAAAAGGACCACCTCCGCCATCCATGTCCAGAATAAGCTGACAAGCAGGACTCCGAGGAGAGGACGGTGGGGAAACTGCGGTGGCTTCGGGGGGGAATGGTGAGCGAGGATTACCATAACCAGAGAGACGAGACATAAATAGATGCAGTTGTCCGCGATGCGCAACGCCGCGTTGATGGATGCGACCAGGGGAAATATCTTCTCCCGGCCCTCCATCGAGACATCGAGCACGTAGACCCCGGATTCGGTACCCGCTGAAACCGGTCCGTTCACCTCGGGCATGAGAATGTTGGCCAGGTTGTTGGCGAGGTACTGGCTCTTGGCTGACGGGAAGCAGATGGTCTGGTAGAGGAGGTGAGCACTGGCGGCGACGGGGTAGGCCACCGCCGCGATGAGTTCATTTGTGATCCGAAAACGCTGCCATGTGTTGAAGACCCAGGACAGGCCCACGGATATGACCAGGACGTACCAGCAGGCGATGAACCCGGGGCCGTAGAATCGAGACGCAAGCGCCTCTCGCCCGAGTTCGAGGCCTATGTCTTCAACGCTCGGAGCCATCTAGTGGTTAGTCTACCATTGGGGTAGATGCCAGCGGGTTTCCATTGGGACAGGTGGCACACAAATGCCCTACCAGAACATCCACCGGATAATCAGGTGGTACAACGTAAGAGGATGCTACATAGTTGCGGCGGTGCAGCTCTGCCAAGGTGATGACCCAATCCTACTACCCTGTACAGATAATCACATGTAATACCGCGATGAAGATCGCAATGTAAGATACCTGTACGCGTATATATCCATGTCAAGAAAGGGAGCCACAGGTGAACTTGTTTCCAATCTAAATTTAATGTTTTTTTTTATATCTCGGATTTAGTTTATATGCAATGCGGTGATATACACCGCTAGTATCGTGACAAAAGGCCCATGGGGGTCATCCATTTACTTGCGACGACCTTTGGTGGAGTTCGTGAATACAAAAGTACTTCAGTACATGGACGCATGTATTATTTTGCATCGGGGTAAGATGTCTCACATGCAGTGAGACTTTCCGGGTCTTGCTAAGCCTCAAAGGTCAAGCAACGCATCCAATCCAGCTTTGCCAGGTCATACCCTGATTGACATGTTCATGCTGGAGTCCCCCGGGAATATGCCTGGATGTAATAAGATGTAGTTCCAAAACACCGCAGTGCAGAACTCAAGAGGTCGTAAAGTCGTTGATCGATAACGCTCACAATATGACTGTCAGTCCCATGGGGTTTGAGGATGCGCCATAAACCGCCAGGAATTTGTAGATACCTGGCATCGTGGAATATATACAGGGACTTAAGTAAGACAAAGGGCCTAGATCTGCTAGAGATCACACACTCAAGGGCCCTTTGTCGTCGCCAAACAGCTCATTGTACCATGGCTTCGAGCCTTTCTGGCAGATTTCGTCCCACTCCATTGGCTCAAAGCGGGCTGGAAGGGAGTCTTTCCCAGGGCTGTAGTTTGTCACGCGGGCGCCCTTGTCGGCCTGGTAGAGGACTTGCTTTTTACCGTCGTCCACCCTCGCCAGAGGACGCGGTGAGTCGGGGCTGGACTGGAGCGTGTCCGTGACGAGCTCGCGAAGTCGTGGGTAGAACCACATCTTATCCCACCAATTCTTCAACCGCCATGACTTGAGACCATCGATGTAGGCGTTGTGGTGGATGCCCACCGGAGCAACGCCGAAGAAAAAGTCCGTGTATAGTGACTGGTCCTCCCAATTGACGTCTTGGAACCGGTCCTCTTCCAGTCCCGATTTCGAAAGCTCGGGTGGTACTCCTTCAACGCGCACGCCGTCGGGCACGCCCGCTTTCTCGGACAGCTCCCTGATGGCGGCCGCGTCCGACATTTTGACAAAGTATCCATCCTCTTCTGCGGAGCACGTAGCGGGGGCGGTGGTGAAGTTGTAGTCCAGACCGATCCCAAAGTCGAACCGCACCCCTCCCAAGGCGTCCTCGGCGATGCGGCGCACGTGCTCGTCCGACGTTGAGTTGACGCTCTCGGCCATGCTTCCGTCCCAGGTCGATGCCAGTTCTCTCACCCATGTGCGCCATGCTTCCTGATCGCCGATTACTTCGCCAAACAGCGCCTGGTCGCTCCAGAGCTGGCGGCCTTCCATTGCGACCTGCTCGACCTTTTCTCTGCAGCGTCGCAGCGAGTCTCGCATGGCACCCATCGTGCCCATGATCAAGCCGCTGTTTACACACCGAGGACGGATCTTGCGATACTTGCGCGCAGAATCCCACAACGGCGGTGTCAGCATGTCCGTTCCCTCCCCGTAGAAGTCAGTCGGCATCGGTGACGGCGGCCAGAGCTCATAGTGTGGATCGGAACCGGAATCAGACAGAGGAAAGCAGTCCTTGGCGGTTGTCACGATAATCGACTGCTCTGGGGGAGGGATCGGGAAGCTCTGGTGGGAAGCAGACTGCTCCCAGAGCTGGCGGTTGCGCTCATTGGCCTCACGATTGAGTTGGTTAAACCGCTGGATGAGGACCGACGGAGGGAGCTGGAACCACAGGTCGTATGCATCTATCATGAGCGCCAAGTCGTCCTCGTTCGCGTCTGGGTCGTTGTCAAGGAGCTCTTCGATCACTTCCAGCAGGCTCTCGAGCTTTGCGATGTGGGTGCCAGCGAACTGCCATTCGGGTCTGTTGAAGTCACCATCCCAGTTGAGGAGGACGGGCAGAGGGTAGCCGAGTGCGAGGCCGGACATGACGACCTTGCAGAGGTTGATGCCCGGGTTGTCGGCGGGCATGAATACACGCAGCCGTCGTTCACTTGAGGTCGGTCCATGGCTCTCGGTACGAATTACGAGGCTCTCGAGCTCGGCTTGATTTAGTGTAACATGATTGGATATCGATGGGCTCGGGACACTCGTGCTGGGAATGCTACAGGATGACTGTGGCTCTTATTAGCTCCTCCGTGGGTTTCTGTTGGATTTCGAAGCACAACTCGACGGGAGGATCTTACAAGAGAAAGATAGAGGAAAACGGCAGAGGCAACAAAGAACAGTGTCACATGGAACTTGGCCCCGCCAAGCCGTGGGCGGCCTCGTAAGCTCGTGGCCATGTCAAATCAAGGGAGGATAGGGAAGAGGAAAGCAAATCATGTTCTCCAGGCAAGGAGGACAGGCATAACAAGATGCTTGGATGGCCAGCTACCTATGTGGAAGAACCAAAGCAGCGCAACATACAGGTCAGCAAAACAACGACGAGACATCACAGCACAATCTGGTCATGATAGGGTGTTTGAGAAACTAGCCAAGCAAAGCCAAGAGGGCTTAGCAAGGATGTGACGACGCTTAGATGGTGGGAAACGTTGCGAAGCGTACCCCAGTGGGTAAAAAATCGGTCATGGCCAGAGCCCCGTTGTTCTGATGCGACTAGCTCCATCTCATACCTGGCATGCTGGAGATTTTTTGCGGGTAGAAAGCCCACAACAGGGGGAAAGGGGGCAGGCAAATTGTCCGGATGTTTTTAGAATAAGCTTGGAGGACTTCGGAACTAGTAGTTACCGATCGCCGGCACGAGGGAGCTATTAGACAGGACAGGCCGCGGCATACGAGGAGGAGGCAGGGAGGCCGGGTGACAAGGGGGCCTGGCCGCAAATCAAATAAATGCTGTCGGCCATGCTGGCACGCTCGCATTGGTTTTTGGCGTTAGGTGCTAGTGGTGCGCAACCCCAGCGACAGCCTCGTTGGTGATGGTGTTGGAGTTGAGGGAGGTCAAGTGGCCAAACGCGATGCCATGCGGTGTGAATAAGGTGAGAGAGTGGCCGCTGTGTAATTACGTAGCCCCCTGTAGCGCCTGTAGTGCGAGCCACCAACACACACGGGAGGCTGAAGGGCACGCTCATACGTCGGCAGCGTTGCAGCAGTGGGTAGCAGCGGCTGCGCTGGTGAGCCAGGGCTTAAAATAGCGATGGGGGGGGGATTACGTAGCTGCTCTGGTACCCGGTGCGTGTTAACGTTAGCGCTGCGGCACTGCACCCGCTCAAGCCTCATGGGGCCTGACGGGGCCCTATCAATTGCAGCCTCGACAGTTAGGGGCCTCTAGTTCAGTTTGCATTGAATCAGCCCCTTCCTTTCGCAGGTGCTTACGTAGGTCCAGTGGGATGTGTTACAGGAACGCTCCTGCACCAACAAGCATTGATGTGGGAGACCGTGAGCGCCTGTGCCGCCATTGGCCCTTGCCGTGGGCAAAGTGTGGTTCTGTCCCATGTGTCCCATGTAGTACTCGCAAATCAGCAGTTCTTGGCTATGTTTTTTTTTCAAGGCCGGCTGCCTCTCAGGCTTGGC